AGTTTATTGTACGATCATCCAGATTAAAATTTTTTAATTATTTCTGACGTTTCGGCTACCTACACGGCAGCCATTATCAAAGACGTATATACGTCTTTGATAATGGCTGCCGTGTAGGTAGCCGAAACGTCAGAAATAATTAAAAAATTTTAATCTGGATGATCGTACAATAAACTAAAATTAATGGTAAAACCCGGATTCAAGCCCTTCAGTGAAAACTTTTGAATATTACTAATTTTGTGATACTCTTTCAAGCTGTGATGAAATTTTTGTCTAGATCGAAATTTTAGTTATATAAGGGGAAAGGTCGATTGAGTGTGTTTCGTTGATTAGATATTGATTAATTTTCCAGGCAGACGTGTGCTCACATAGTACAACATCAACAAACGATTATAACGGAGATTTTGACGAAGACAGTTTAGCGGACGAATGTATAAACCCTGGAACAAGTTTCCAACGAAATGGAATATATTCTACGTATCCGCCAAAAGGCAATCTTAAAAAGAAAGAGTCTCTATCGCAAAGGTTCCATAATACATTGGATGAAAGTTTGAGCGAGACCAGTGAATACCAGTCTGATAATGGCGGGTATCATGGATTTAGCGAGGTCATCGAGGATGTTAGTATTGGTCCTGAGTCCAGTACACCAAAAACCAAGAGGAAACATGAACGGTTTAGGAAAAGGTAAGGTGGTGGTGATGGTAGTGATTTTTTCCAAATGGGTGATTCCAGCTACAGACTAAATTTTGATCAAGGCAAGAAAAACGAAATTCAACACCACAGCTAGAAAGAGCGTCTTAAAATGAGTAAACCTGCAAAGATTGGTTGCTAAATGTTTTAAAATGAAGAAAATATAGCCCTGTGAAATTCGCAAATTTTGTATATATTTGTATTACGCGCGGGAAAAATAACCACTTTCCGCTCAAAAATATATATGCAAAATTTGCGAACTTCACAAGGCTACATTTTCCTCATTTTACAACAACTTACAAGCAAACTTCGCAATTTTACTCATTTTAAGATGCTCTTTCCAGCTAGGGTAATGAACTTCGTTCTTCTTGACTACATCAAAATTTCTTCTATATCATCCATTGCACTTGAAACCATACTATTACCTATACTAACATTTTCTATTTCCATATAGAAACGGCAATTTCACGTCACATTCACTCAATACAAGTCCACACAGAAGTTATGACGATCTTCAGAAAGCAATTTCAGACAATGACGCAAATTTAAGCACATTATCTGACAAGGTATGAGAACGAAATGTTCATTGGATAGTCCGACGGTTGCCGAGAAGTTGCAAGGGGCCTGGGGTCGGTTGTTCAAAAACCTGTTCGCTTAATCCTAGGTTAACGAAAAATGCCAAAGCAATCTTGCCAACAGCTTGGTTATAAATATGGAAATATCTTTCCAGAAATCTTGTCTCGATCGTCAGAAGTTTTATTTCCAACAGAATTACACAAACCAAGACAGCTGGTTAAATTTTAATCCACTGTTAGCGCTAATCCAGCTTTGAAAAGCCGGCCCCTGGGGGGAAAACGTCTTCTGGAGTGACACTGGACCAGTAAGGTTCGCCCTTACTGGATCTCTAGGGAGAGCTATTTAGAACTGATACGGGTATCCAGTACAAATGAAGTTAGTTTAGGTTAGGTTTCCTCCTGTAGTGGAGCAATAAGAGATGATCCTTACTGGACCTCTAGGGAGAACAGTTTAGAACTGATAGAGCTATCCAGTATAAATAAAGTTGTTTAGGTTGGGTTTCCTCTTGTAATAACACTAGATCAATATGAGATGATCCTTACTGAACCTCTAGGGAGAACAGTTTAGAACTGGTAGAGCTATCCAGTATAAATAAAGTTACTTTAGGTTAGGTTTCCTCCTGTAATAAAACTGGAGCAATAAGAGATGACTCTTACTGGATCTCCAGGGAGAGCAATTTAGAACTGATAGAGCTATCCAGTATAAACTCCTGTAATAACACCATAATAACTCCATAATAAGATGCACCATAAGATGCAGACTAAAAAACAGTCGCTAATAATTGGAGACTAGTTTTACTTTGTTTTTCTCGTGTCCCTGGCTTTGCTTACCAACAGCCAATCCATACTTTTTACCCGTGAGGCGAAACTGTGATAATAGCGGCAGTTTTTCGTCACGTCCGCGTCATAGATTTGGTGTATCTTAAGCTCTGGAGCAATAAGAGATGACTCTTACTGGATCCCCAGAGAAAGCAATTTAGAACTGATAGAGCTATCCACAGTATCCAGTATAAAAAAGTTAAATTTTATACATTTATCAGAATGAATGACCTAACCAGGAGTAACTCTGTAGCTCATTTGGTTAGAGCGCTGCACCGGAATCGCGGACCAAAGGATCTATAGTTGCATTTGTCGTAGTTGCTCCTGGCTGGGTCTTCAATGGAGTGAGAGGCCCCAAAAATTTCTGATAAACAATTCTGATTTAGTTCAACGTACATCATGTTATTATACGTAGATATTTCATCTGACGTCAGAAGTAAGCACGTTGCAAGAAGATCATTCAATCAACCAGGGGAAACATGATAAAATGAAACAAGAAAATAGAAACTTAACAGAAAGGTTAGTCGAATATGGCGGCTGTTCAGATTGAGCTTCTCTACATAGATCGATTGAAGTTTTTTGACAATCGAAATTAATCCAGAAGCCAACAGAGGAGTGTTTTAATAGAGTGTCGCTAACGGTTTTGACCAGGATTGTACAGTAAACCTATCAAATGCGATTAATCGAATTTATTATACATTGTAGTCTCTACTTGTCTTCTGATTGACCAATAGGTTACAGCTAAATATGAAAATCACGCAACCTACACATAACTCAGTTATCTGCTGGCAGATAGCTGAGTTATGCATGTGTATATAGGTTAAGCCCGCGGTATGTAATGTTATAGCAAGCGGCAGTTTTAAATACACAAATAGAAAACAAGGAAAAATGAACATGATGTTTTTGTGCATAAAACAGACCTTTTTGATATTTTTATCGGAACTTTAGTGTGCCAATGAGATTTCTGAATACTCATTTTTATTTTGAATCGTTTTCATTGCTTTTTTTGAGAACCAATCGTTGTTTTGTGCGACAGATCATTGTTTGTGGAAAGAGTTCGTGAAAATGCAATGTATAATAAAACAGTTATTGAATTCGGTTTTTGTGACATCTCGAATTATCAAGGTCTCGGCAAGTGTTATCAAAGTGCATTTTCTGTGAAACACTTGTCTAACTGAAAAATCAGTGTCTATTCTTGCCGATGACTATGGTATTGACTATTGCAAAAGAACAATTACACAAATATGCAACGCCAACTGTCAAGTCGAGCGTCAAGTCTGGTTCCCATATGGTCGTAACGATTGAGTCACGATCTTTCTGAACAGCTAAAATGCAACAGTTAACACTAATATAATAGGCAGAGTGATTATATAAATAGCGTGTTGATAATAAATTTGTGACAAATTTATTGCGACAAATGTATTTGAACAAAAGCTAGCATGCAAGCTTTTGATCAAATGAAATTTATCAAATAAAATTTGCTCGTGTAAACGGGGCTTTACATGTCGAAACTATTATAATCTGCTATTGAGAAAGATCGTGACTCTAGCTTTACGACTGTTACGACCATACGGAAACCAGGCTTTACTCTGCTTTGAAAATCACGTGGGCCGGCACGCGAAAGGCCATATATGCGTTCATTATCATGAAAATTATAATCAAGAAGACTTTCATTGTCAAGAGAAAAGATAATTAAAAGTCAATAAAATAATAAATCTTATTATCCAAGCACACGCGAACATGTTTATAAATAGCGCGACACAACATAAAGTCTGTAAATATTAGCACGTATCCATGGCAACTCTAATATCTCGACCATAAAATTAGCTTGGTATTTTTTTGTGAATTTTCCCTCGCCAATTAAGGGCTTAAGCATTCTGTCGCTCTTTTGCGTACAGGGAGTGGGCGTACGATGAATATAGGACTTTTTACTATTTTGAAAAATCTTAAAATTATTAGGAAACACAGTGACGTTGTCAAGTGACAAGATTTTATTGTTCAAGGCATTTATAGATGGAAATTTGGAGACGTGTAATTTTTTAACTAGGGGCAATTGCGAAAGATGCAACTACTACAGGGTGTCTCGAAAAATGAACAAGCTTTCGTTGGTAAGGATGCAACTACCTGAAAATATATAAGGAGAATTTCGACGTTTCGAGCGAAGGCCCTTCCGTCTGAAGTTAACTCGGCGAGCAACAGTCAGTAACTCCAGACGAAGGGCCTTCGATCGAAACGTCGAAATTCTCCTTATATATTTTCAGGTTGTTGCATTCCTACCAACGAAAGCTTGTTCATTTGATTGGCACTACCTACATAGCTGGCAAAAGACAGTTCAAGATTGTTTCAAAAAAAGACCTTTAGAAATTATCCTATTGTAATTTGAATGGCTGAGCACTATGCTGAACCCACGGATGTGTAAAATATTGACATGGTGCATGTATTAAATAAAGGAGACCCGTAGAAACTATTCTACAGGGTGTCCCCAAAACCCCCCAAAACTATTGAAATAAATGTATTGTTAGAATTTGAATGCCTCAGCACTCTTCTGAACCCACACTTGCATCAAAGCTTGACGTAAGTAAATTTTATGATAAAGAAACCGTTTAAGAAGCTGTTTTAAATTCCCAAGAGCAGAAAATCGTGCGCTTTACAAAGATATTTTAATTTCTTAATAAGTCAATATTTAATATATGCACCCTTGTCAATATTTTGTGCATCTTTGCGTTCAGCTTATTTCAATGGTTTTGCATTTTTTTGGGGGACACCCTGTATTGTAATTTGAATGCCTGAGCACTATGTTGAACCCACGGATGTGTAAAATATTGACAGGGTGCATATCCCTGTTAGACACAAGATTTTCTGTCCCAGCTTCTAATAGCATAAAGGAGAATAACTACACAAAAATGGTCAAATTACAATGTAGTCCAAAAAAAAGTGATAGAAATTCACCTCATTGTGCCATAGAATGCCATTCACCTCATTATGCCGTAGAATGATAGAATAGAACAAAGGTAACTAAGCTTTAGAATGATCTACAAAAAGTGACTTTAGAAATTCACCTAAATTGTTATAATTTGAATGCCTTCAGGAGTCCTATATCAGTATACCCATGGGTATAGGCAAACACAATTGAATCGAATTTTATGATGGAAGTTTATCGTTCAACATATGAATATGACTGCAGGTGTGCTAATTAATTTAACGCAACGCGTAAAACAGTAAAAACTCTTTGCTCTGCCAAATAGCTAAAAATAGAAATCAAAAACGTTCTGTATATTTGCCGTAACATCCCATCACTTGCGGTGTACTCTTCATGCGATATTATCAAGAGTCACATTGTCACCGTGCATTGATTTTAAGTGGCTTCATATATTTGCCTTCTGACTTTTACTATTGATATTACCATTTCCGAAGAAAAACATTAAAGCTTCCTTAAAAACCTAATTTGCATAACAACACAACACCTGCCCCCCTCTGACAGCAACGCTAAGATATATTTATTGTGTATTGTCTGGCTGAAGGCTGAAATACAGTCTGTTTGATTTCTAAATTTCTCAAAACAATTTGAAAATGCCAGATTTGAAAGTATAATCTTGCGAAGAATATATATGAGGTGAGGAAGCTTGATTCATTGATGATTTTTGTCTTTATTTCTTTATATTTAAATGTGTCGTTAAATTTTCTGATTTGCATTTCATCTCGAGAGTATGCCACCGGCGGCAATTTACATGAGTTTACGTTTTGAGTGTGTACGAATGCTTTAATATATGAGAAGTATATTGGATGTACAAAAGATACATCTCTTCCCTTCGGCCTTTGTTTAAAAGGTTTATATTTATTCTTTTACTCATGCAACTTTGAGCAAGTTCAAATTGTAATTTTAGTGTAAGTCATTAAGAGTGTAATTGAACATATGACATATGTATCAAATATTCTTTCACATCCTGTCGTGGTTTGTGTCTGAACT